TAACAAACAAACGATAAAGTGCTTGAATAAGAAGTGTATGATACATAAGACCAGTTAATCCATGCAGTAGAAAGCCACGGAACGAAGCACAGAACTCAATCTGACGTTAGTGTGATACATATTTTATTCGATCTGCTTTCTATCGTTAGTCAGCTTGTCCAAACAAGGCGAACCTTATGTTGTTAAACACAAATCAAGAATTGAATTTCTGCTTGACTAGATTTGAATTCGATGTATCCGTACATTTTGCAAAAGTATCATTAATTTGGTTACGTATATAATAAGACTTGAAAAACGAATTTTTTAATACAAAAAAACAGTAAATGATCATCCCAAAAGAAAGTAATAAATTGATAGTATCTATGAACTGAGAGGGTCTCAGTAAGATACTCCAGATTTATTATGTTCTCTGTAAAGATTGTTCATTTACCATTTTCTATAGCGTTCGTTGGTCCATATAACCAACCATTCAACGACATAAGTAAACACTATCTCTTTTCATAAGAGCTTTTTAAAATAATATCTTGACTATTATTCATTACATTCAGGAATATCAGTCCGAATCGTAAATGGATTGAAGACTATTTTGAGAGGGTCTCATGGCGATTTACATTCGGTTACATCTAGAAATTAGACCTGTTTGCGTTTTCAGAGTTGGAAAAAATTAATGGAATTAAATCGAAAAAAATGAAATAAACTGTTTTGAGAGACAAAAAGAAAAATCCCCAATTTCAGATTCGATCTGTATTCAATTGTAATATTGGCAACAGAGTACCCAACAAGTACTCTCAAGTTTCTGTGACATTCATCAGTAGCAGAGAACTTGTTTCAGTATTCATAGCTTAGTACAGTCACTTAAGGCAAACATTTTTTCCCTTTTTCTCTTCAGTTTTCGTTTTGTCTCACTTGATCAAATCTTTCATACTACTTAAGTAAAAACACAATATTCATAATTTTTACATTGTCATTTATTTTATAGAGTGATAGTGAGCGGGTGAGACTCGATGAAGTGTAATTTAATTTGAAATCAAACAATTAATTGAATATTGTGTTAATCATTGATCCTTTAAACATTGATGGATACCTTCGACATATCATCATCAGTTTTGATGCTCATGTTCACTATATGAGGAATCATTTTTGCTTCATTATTCATTGTTGTGGTAATTTTCAATCGCGTATGTTATACAAAAACCGTTCTTTTGACATTGAATTCGGTTGTAGCTGGATTATTGGTCAATGTTACCACTGCTTGTCAATCTATATATCAACTAAACCATACTGACTGTGATCCTCTGTGTTCATTTCGTGGCTTTCTACTGCATGGATTAACTGGTCTTATGTATCATACACTTCTTATTCAAGCACTTTATCGTTTGTTTGTTAATGTATTTGCAACACGTCGATTTCTTCAATCAAAAAAATTCACTCTAATTATCGTTATTGTTCAATGGTTACTTTCGAATACTTTTGGCCTACCAATATTTTTTGCTGGACGAATTCGATATCAGGCTGGCAGTCGAATCTGTCTTGTAAGTATTAAAAACAATTTTTTTTTCATAGAAAATTGTTCAGCTGATCAGCATATTATTTAATGAAAAGCATTGAAACAGAATATTCCATTTTGATAAAAACTAATGTGATAAACTTTTGACTCAGTTATAAAACTAATAGGAAACAGAAGAATCACTATCAATTGCACATGTTTGAAATAATACTTATTCTAATTTGTTTTTTCGTAAAACTTAATCATTCAAATTCTAGTAATAATACAACTGAAACAATTTTACACATCTATTTGAGAATCCAAGATCGGAAATTCAATTTAGTTCTTTATTTCTTTCCGTATGACCATCGTCAATTGAATTGATTTCAATGGATGCATAAATGTGAAAGATTCGTCTTTCTATCTAAGGTCATAATTCTCCGAATGAATTTTGATATGAGCGTATGAATAAAAACCAATAAGTGACGACGAAATGATCACATGAAGAATCAGTGATTTTAACATAGTTTGAAATCGAATTCTATGGATAATAATCTTATTGATCAATTTTTAAGATAAGTAATTACTTTATGAACATTTTCCTCACGATAACAACTTTGTATACACAAATGTCTGAGTTCAGTCTAGCAGCAAAATTGTTTTAACAAGTCTACCGAAGAAAATGTGGGTGTGGGTCAGCGCGAAAATAACACCCACACGCACACTCAAATCTTCTGATTGATGATACATTAATTAAATTCAGAACCAAAATTCTGATATTAAATTCTCTTGGAGATTAGTCAAAGAATATCAAAAGTATAAAAACACTAATTTTTATCTATATATATACGTATATGATTCTGATTGAATTCAAAATGTTTAATTATCGTCCGGTTTTTTATTTCTTTTTAGGTATCATTAAACGATATCTCGGGTTTCTTTTACTTGGCAGTATGGATTTATTTAGTTCCAGTATCATTACTGACATTAATCTATGCCATGATTGTTCGACATGTAACAATTAATGCATTTTCAAATACCAATCGTCAGGCTATATTCCAACGACGCCAACAGAAACGTGAAATTCAACTCGTTCGTCGTATTTTAATTTTAGTTACCATGCTTATCGTCATAGGTATTCCATATTGTAGCTTTTGGTTACACACATGGTGCACTGGTTTATCACCACCATATGCTGAAAGACTTAGTTATATATTCATTGCTTTTGGATATGGAGCTAGTATGCTATACATTCTCGTCAGTACAAGTAAAGTGAGAAATATTCTCATCGATATTTACAATAAACGATATAGAGGACGACGAGTAGAATGTGCCAATATTACAAATACGCAAGCTATTCAAATGACTGTTCAATGCAATACCTAAATAACTTATGCTTGACTATTATTAGCATGTAATTGTTTACGAACTTTTACTTAAATGTAAATTCATCGCTCTAGAAAAATAAGAATACTTCTAATCGCAACAATAAAAAAAAAGATTTTAAGGATCGTCAATAAGTGTTATTTCAGAACTTCTAAGTTATTTTCTCTATTTCTGAGATGAAAATATTTTGTTTATTAAAATATTTCATGTTGAAATTCTTTATAAAATGATAGCAGAGTCGAATCAGAAAATTGATTATAACATATTTCATTAAAGAAAAAATGGAAAATATGTAAAATCAATGATTGGGGTGAAATTAACGGAACAACAAATGAGAACAATAATAGAAAGACACAATAGAACATCTTGAAATACTGTGAATGATTGATTTTTCAATCATGTACGCTTCTTAATAACATCATTAATAAACTTCATTGAAAACATCAAATACAAAAGACAAAACAAGTCTAATAAAATGAAATTCAAAATGTCTAAATAGACATTTGCAAAAAGCGTAGTTATTAAACGATAGTTTACATACATCTTGTAATAAATTCAATATTATTTCCATCGATTGAAACTGTGCAATGTTTCAAACGAACGACATACTTTTCTTACAGATATCTGACAAACAGAAAAGTAAGAAAAAAGAACAAAGTTCCATTATTCTACTACAATATTATAAAATTAATTCTATTCATTTCTGTAATCGCCATTACCTATGAATCGCATACAACGATCTCCAGAAATGATTCTATCAGGTATTCACAATTTAATCTCACTAGACCACTTCGATTGATATCATAGGAAGTCTACTTTGGGTGTGGGTCTTTTATCTTTTGTAATATCCACACCTCAGCCTTATACGAACATATTGAATATATCAAATTATCAAAATCAATTTCAACTTCTAAAATCCATTTCGTTCAAAACAAAATGGAGAAATAAATTGACTTTGTTTTTCATGGTAGATTTCAAGTTCATAATTATCATCAAAATGTAAACTAAAATAAAATTTTTCTAGATGTTTTAAAATAAATTCTTCCTAGTCGAGTCGTAAATGATCAATTTTTCAATTTTGAACAATTCAAACTTTTAATCACTATTTCAAATGAATCAAATATCATTCGATAATTATCTGTAGAAAGATGTATCAAATTCGATTATGTCATTGGTTTAATAACTTCAATGTTTTTATTATGGTCAGTAAAATCGAAAAATTTCAAACGTCGAAGATTTTGGTATATAAAATATTATATTCGATATTCGTTGTTTGTTAACTATTGATAATGAAACTCTTATATCAAAATTACTAAATTCAATCTATGTAAATTTCAAATAGTCTAGTTTTGAAAAATTTAAAATTAGTTGATAATTATGGTCAAGATCGTTAATCAAAGAACATATATCGATTGTTAATGAATACAAACGATGTAAATGAATTCATTTTGGAAGAAGTGAAATAAGTAAATTCGGCTGAATAGGATTAAACATAAGGGATTCGAGACGAATCAACGATGAATCAATATTTAATAATGAAATAAAAAGTTGATCATCATTAACTGCTGATGACTAGAGATGATCAATAGATTTGACAGACAAATATCACCTAATGAAGGATTTCTAAAAACAATGTTTCCTTTCCATTATTTCAATTCTACAAAAGCAATGTGTAGTACTTAACTATGCCATAACATATATTACAACGAGCGAACTCTTATAACTATTTCATTATTCAAATGAGTAAGTAATTTATCAAGAGAAATATTCACTAGATTACACCAAGCAAACTCAGTCGATAATTGAAGTTCGTCAACGAAACTTTTATTCTAAATTAACTCTTACATCAAATTAAAAACAAACTATTCGATGGTATCAAATAAGTTTTTCTTATAACTAAACTACTGTAATTAACACTTCATTCAAAAACATAAATGATTTGAATACAAAAATTTTTAACGAGATTTGAAAAATGAAAATATCTTGTAAAATGAATATTAGTAATAAAAGTTATGTTTATTTACATCAATCAACTCAACATCGAACAAATCATCTAATTATATCCGAAGTTATGTCTTCAATTATTAACAACGATAAGTAATACTTTATTTAGAAGATAAAATCTATTTACAAATGAAGTTTCTTAAAGGGTGTGGGTGTGAGTGTGGGTGTGGGTATAAATCTTCCCTTCACTCACACCCACACTCACCCACACCCACACCCTCAAGATAGTACATATCTAGTTTTATTCGATTCTATTCTATTGCCGAAAAAATTGAATTTTCCCGTCCACTAGTAACATGAAGCGAAACTAAGAAACATTATCATGGTATACTGAAAAACCATAATACGTAGCATACTCGGAACCAGTGTGAAAATCTGTATCAAAGAATATATATGATAGTAAAATAAATGCGAAAACCTCGGATTTAAATCCGAGTGTTATATGTGCTTGAAAAAGTGAACAGGTATATTCAATTTGTTTTTTTTTATCATCTGAGACATATCTGGGCAATCTGCCTTCTCGATGCAGTTTTTGTGAATTTTGAGACCTTTTTCAGGCGATGTTTTATTAGAAAGTTACGATTTGGTTCAAAACTAATATCATATTCGGAATCAGCGTTAAAAACTGAGTTGATTTATATATGTTGTGAAGAATTCTGAAAAAAAAAATATTTTTTTTGAAAAAATCCCTGTACCCCCCCTCAGGGATGGTCTTCTCAATAAT